CTAAAGTCATTAATTTAAGGCACATATGAAAAAAAATCCAGAATTTAAGAAAGTACGTCTACCTCTCCATTGTCCACGACTGCCATTGAACTCATTTGGCCACAAGCAATTCCAGTTACTATTTTGTTCTGTAAACAACTGGTGACTTTCCTAGGTATTGGCTGATTGGCAGTGGACCCTGAGCCAACTTGGCCAGAATTGTTGTAGCCCCAAGCATACACCTGGTAAGTAAAACAAGAGATTATAATAAATAAAATTTACCTGATTTATATAAAAAAAGAAGATACATTCAATAACAATCACATCCTGACAAATGAAACAAACCACAAACACTATAAGCAGCAATTGTATTAGTTAAACTTGCTCACCAATGTCAAAGGCTGAAAAGGATTTTCCCTGTTGGGAGTCACTGTTATGGACACATGCTTAGTGTAATTTTTGTTTCCCCAACTACTATCCACGGCATCATGCACAAATGGGTTAGATCTGACTCTCAGCAGACAGGACAGGAAAAATATCTTTCAAAGTCTCAAAAAGTAAATATTAGGCCAAAGGTGGGAACTAGAGACAATAATCCAGAAATGTAAATGTAGACATGTAAAGGCTACAAGTACCATATTCAAGCTACAGAATGGCAAGGGTAATTTACCAAGGTCAGACCCCTGGAATACAGTACAATGTGCACACCAAACTCGACACAGCATCCTCACCCCACATATTCAGAAAGGGATGATGATCTGGATATTACTATTTGGCTTTTATATAGCGCCAACATATTTCACAAAGCTGTACCATAGAAGGAATAAAGACAAATAATAAGCACTTACTTATACAAAAATAATAAAAGACATTGCCCATGAGCTTAAATTCTAGCAAATACAGTACTTTTCATAACAAAATAAGGGCAATCTTGGATAACAAACACTGCATCAGGGAAAAACAAAAGTTAGAGAATTAAATCTGCGATGGAAAAATATAGTCAATATGTGCAGAGTATACTGTAGAAAAACCCAAGTAGCATCTCCAGAACTTAGGAGGCTACCAAAGAGAGCACACCTTTGTTTTGCTGTGATAGCACAATAGTGAAAGCCAAAATGACAGGTAAGCATAGATGAAAACCCCTTAAACCAAATAGCTAGTAAAAGGATTCATGTTTTTCAGATAGTATTTAGGTTAAGACAACAAGGCATTGGTATAAAATAGGCTTCTCGAAGCCAGAGAGGCAAAATATGGAAGAGAATGACTGAGATACAGGTTCCATTAAGTCATTGTTACCCTACACATGGCCAATGTCTATTAAATGAGGAGAAGAGAATTTTACTAATTGCTCTAACTCAAATAAACCATCTTTAGTGTTACTCAGCTGTCTCAGAAAAAATTAAAACACGTTTAGAGGGAGATCAGTCTACTGATCACGGCATAACTTTAGCGCGTGAAACCTCAGGAATCTCCAGGATCACTTTTAATATAAGTGCCTGCTATAAGAAAGTAATCCAATGATGTTACACACACTATGATTAAATAGACATGGCAAAGCTAAAACTGGAGGTTTCAGTTTTATTATTTCACAAATTTAACTAATAGCTGGGAATGACATGTGGTAACTGTGACGGAACGCTGGTACGCCGTCACTTGGGCATCAAGGGCTCCTTTGTTTGGGTGGACTCTGGTGTGGAGCAGCAATTTAGACTGCACAGACTTAGACCTAGCCACAATATGGAAAAACAAGATGGTGCGGAACCAGAGACTGTGTGATCACGTGGGTGGGGGATAGGACTTTTCTCTTTGTCACTCAAGGAGCTGAGTCACCTATTGTTGACTGTGTGTTTATCCGTTTACCTAATGCATAATGTTTTACTGTGTATGCAAAGTAGGTGTTCTGAGATGGTGTGTCTTATTGGTTATTAATGGGCTTAGTGTGATTGGCTGTTTGTTAAGGCCCAGTTTGATTGGTTGCTGTTCCAAACCTTTGTGTGTTTACTAATGAGTTTACTTGTATACAAATACCTTGGGCTAGTTCCTGTTCTAATTATAATATAGCAAGCTTAGATGCTTTGTCCTGCCAGAACACCCCAATAGTTGAACAGCGGGGCGTAAGGGGCAGCGCAAAGCCTTGTGGTCAGCTGGTGTGGTCAGCTCCACCAAGGGCTTGTACCCTAATGATTTACAAAATAATGAATAAGATCTCCACCTGGGGAGATCTTGAAATGCTGACAAGGATAATAAATGGACAAATATGAGATACCAGTACAGAAATAAGAATAGCCAGTCTGGGGATCTAATAGAAGGGAAGAGAAACAGGGTCCGGAACATCACAACATGACTGTTTAACGAGATACCCTTAAATATTCTAATTGGGCTAGATTAGAAATTGAAAATAAAAAAATCTTTATTCGGTAATAAGGTAAAGCTAGCCAAAAGTGCCCCCTAGAGGCAATACAAAAGGGAGGAAGCTCTATTCTAAATCCCTTCTATGAAACTTGTGAATAGTAGAGATAAGGCTGCAGTCTAAATGTACTCATCCAAAGTAGATATAATAAATGTGACTAAATCGTATTAAGGACAAAATATAGGGTTGGAAACTGCTGGTAGAATGATAGAGGAGCAGTGATCCCTATTGAGAGTGGAAATGGAGGAAAAGGGATAGTAGGGCAAAAGAGGAAGGGGGGGAAAGTAAACACCCTCCCTGGTACACTAAGTATAAGAGCCTCAAAAGAAGGGGTCCCTAAGCTCTGTGAAACACCTTCGTGGGTGTTCTAATCTAAATGCTCACTCTGAGGAGTGATCGTCCACTGCCTATTGTTAGGTATGGAAGCCTCCAAATAAATCCCTAAGCTCTGTAAGACACCTTCGTGGGTGTTCTGATCTAAATGCTCAGTCTAAAAGGGTATCGCCCACTGCCTAATGCTACAGGATCCCCACTGGCTGAAAGTAGATAGAAAAGAAATAAAGTTACTTTAAGTGTACATCCTTATCGTGCCTAACCCATTGGTGTACGTAAAAAACAAAAAATGAAAATAAATGAAGTCAAAGCATGTCGGTGGCCCGACGCGCGTTTCGGTGTATAACACCACCTTCGTCAGGGGCTGAGGAAACGCCGGCTAGAAAAGCCGGGACTTTTAAATGATCTGGGAGCCAATCATCAGGGGGGATTCCCTATTGCCGCCCACAACGAATCGTCACGGATGACGTTCGGGATAGTCCTCACGTCATCCGTGACGCTGGATCCCACGTGAGCGTATGGGGAGGGGCGGGGGCGGATGACATCGTTGTGAGTGACAGCGATGTCTAAGTCACGTTCTTCTCCGATCTAATGCATCGGGATACATTCATCTAAGGACGTGCATGTAGTATGCTGGATGGGAGTTTAAGAGGACCCCCAAAGCTACTGTTACTGTGTGACAATGTGGAATACGATTGGGAGAAAGTGAAGGATACTTTATATGACACCATTAAATAGTTACTTGGTATATGTTATATTGTTTATAATCATAACGATGATACAAGAGTGGTTCACATTAAGTGGACAATCTGGATGGTCCCATTAATCTAGTTAATCAGGGGTGATTTAGTTCCTGTTCTACCCTCAAGCTGTGTGGGTCTGATGTTCTTGGTGGAGAGGTGTTAGCTGACTGAACCTTCGGGAACAGGCTGACATCTGTGGTTTGGCTGGCGGGAAGAAGCTGTTCAGATGGGTGTGCTCAGTCGGGGCACTGGGGAACCCCTCACAGTAACCAACATTACAAGCTTCTGCAAGTAAACGGGGACATGTTACCTCTGCAGAAGAAAGAACTGAGAGACAGGCTTCCAACTTCTCAATCATAAAGCCCTTACTATAACAATACAGAGGTACATATAGATAAGACAGGTGTAAAAGAAACTCTGATACAGCTCAGGTGACTATATTTTCCTCAGCCATGGCTATTCAGAAGAATCTAATAACTGTGGTGCACAACAATGGTATTGTATGACCATACTTTGTCTGTCAATGCTAATGCTGTTGCTACACACTGGCATAGGGACACTGTAGGCATTATAACTGCTACTTATCAATGTGTGCCATCCTTCTGTTTACTGTTGAACAATTTTTGATGTTTTAATGCTGAAAGACAGTCCTCAACAACCCATTTCTTCTGTGTGACTCAAGTTAATGAGAAAGCAGTAGCTTGAACATCAATGGGCACTACCTGATTGGTTTAGAATGTCAACTTACTGCTTTCAGCTAATCACAGCCACCCTTTGATGGTATAAATTGGTATGGTTTATGAAAATGTAATCTCTGCCTTGTTGTAACCCCAGTGGGGGCCTGGTCCTGGTCTGGGCAGAGAAAGACTTTTATTCAGTTTGATATTGCTCAAAATGGTTTAGAAGAAACACTATAAAGTGAGGAATACAAAAATATATCCCTAATGCCATAGTGTTCCACAAACCATTAAGATGTTTGTCCCCCCACTCCCGCACAGAGAAAAGAGGTTTGATTTTCCTTTTAGCCTTTGATGTGCCGGTCTTGCCGCAACAACCCTGCACGAGATCATCAATATAATATAATTTCAGCTAATCAACGGACATGAGACTAGTGTGCTTATGTGGAAAATCGCCGTAACAAGCAGCATCTCTTTGAGCTACAATTAATCAATGCATCTCTATGGGGAGCATTCAGCCTCTTGTTGGTCCTGCAAGCTTTGCCTCTTTCCCTACAGAAGCTGTTGGAATGAGAACCAATAGTGGTGGCCTTCGGCAGCAATGTACATGCTACTTTTTCTTATAAAAGGTAGTGTTTTACAATGCTGAGCCAGGCTACATGCCCCAAAACAACATTAGAAGATACAAACATGTATTCCTAACACTATGGTGCTAGAATACATATTTAGGTTTCCAGTCTCCCTCTCTGTGGTGTAAAAAGGTGTTAAACGTACCTTTTCTCTAACGCTGCACCAGTCTTGCCCCGGCTTGCCCTCCCCTTCGATGAAGATGACCAATCTTGATGATCGCAACCAATTTAATGCTTTCCCATAGAAAAGCATTGGGAGGCTACTGTGCATGTGCTCCAAAAGTGTCATGCTGCGACAATCAGCACCTCCTCATAGAGAAGCACTGAATCAATGCATCTCTAGGGGAAGCGTTCAGCAACTCCATGCAAAGCATGGAGACGTTGCACGTAAATTCAACACTGGACTAGGAGCCATCTGAATGACTGCTACGAGAGGTGTTAATAGGCAGCAATGTAAATGCTACCTTTCCTCTGAAAAGGCATCGTTTACAGAGTTAAGACTGCAGGGACATGCAATACACATCATGACCACTATAAGCTATAGTGATTCTGATGGCTTTAGATTCCCTTTAAGTTGTAGTGGATCTGGTGACTAGAGTCTGTTTATCACAGAGGGACAGCAAAAGGGGACTCTAAGCACGATAAACAATAAGATAAAATGATAAACTAGATGCATGCAGTTCCCATAGGGGCATAAGCATCATTACAACTAATTATATGGAAAGACATATACGGCTTAAAGGAACACTATAGCATTATGAATACAACCCCCCACAAGTGTTGAAAACCCTTTAAAATACTTACCTTAATTGCAGCGCTGAGTTCTTTTAGTGGTGGCTTTGTCTCCTCCTCCAGCAGCGTCATGCCAATGGAGGACTTAATGCTGTGCATGCATCAGAACTTCACCACAGAAAAAACATTGAATCTTTGGACGTTCACAAGTTTTGAATGAGGACAACCAGTGTCTTCAAAATCCAAGCAAAGTCGTTTTACAAAGTTAAACTCCTTGAAAATACATGAAGCACCTCTATTGGCTGTCTTGTTTACATTGCAGGGTTAAAGGGACATGGACACTGCACCCAGATCACTTTAATGAGATGAAGTGGTCTGGGTGCCTATAGTATCCCTTTAATGCATATCTGAAGATAATATTTTTTTATGTAGGAGTTCACATTCTTTTCTGATTAGTGGAACTAATACAAGCAACACAAATACTATATAAAAGTAAAATTAGATTGATATAACCTGTAGATTGAAAGTATACTGCAGAGAGGGGCGTGGCCGAGCCGTCAATGAGACTGGACGTGTTTCGGTAGAGCTCCGCAGCAACTGTGCCTAAAGCATTCAAAAGCGACCTCAAAAATCGTCTAACTACCCCTCACGGGAACCTCCGACATGGAGAAGAGACCCCCTAAGAAGCAGGGGAAAAAAACGGCCGACATTGGGACCTCCAGCTCCGTCCTAGACCACTTCCCCATGCACAAACAAGGCCGTGCAGGAAGTCAAGATGGCGACGGGAGCTCCCCACAAATATCACCGAAGGCGACCAGGGATGCCCCACTCCATGACCAAGATACCGTTTTGGCCAAACTCGCTGAAGTCAGGGCCTTCTTGGCAGGAGAAATAGCCAACTCAACGGCAATTCTCCAAGCAGAGATAGGGGCCCTGGGAAAACGCACGGCCATCTTGGAAGAGCGCATGGAGACCACAACGCTAGCCCACAACGCGCTTATAGATCGAGTAAACCGTATGACCTCACATCTGGTGGAAACTGACCTAACATTAGAAGATATGGCCAACCGGTCACGGAGAAATAACCTCCGCATTCGGGGCCTCCCTGAGGAGAAAGACGAGGATTTAAAGGGGATACTACTCTCTGCCCTGAAGCCTCTCCTACCCGCCTTATCGGAGGAACAGTGGCACATGGAAAGGGCACATAGAGCCCTGAGACCACAGAAGATCGACACCAACACCCCGCGGGACGTAATCGTCCGCTTCCTATACTACAGCACGAGGGAAGCGCTGATGGGGAAAAGCCGGGATGCACCGTTACGGTACGCAGGGGCCACATTATCCTTATACCAGGATCTGGCACCGTCGACACTTCAACGACGACGAGAGTGGAGGCCTATCACAGCAGCCCTACGAGACGCAGGTCTGAAATATGCCTGGGGATTCCCCTTCAAGCTTATGGTGTTCCGGGGAGACCGCTCACACATCCTGATGCCGGGAGGGGATCCCCAACGCTTCTTTAGGAACCTCGGCCTACAACCACCCCCCCGACTTCCAGATATCTCTCTGCACCCTACCGAGCTCCAACAACTACAGACAGAGTGGCAAGAAGTCGGAGCTAGAGGCCATCGCTGAAGCACTGTGGGTATCGTATAATCACACATCACACAACACCATCCACCGCCTTCTACCCCACCTCATATTCCACGGAGACTGTTCAGTTTAAATTAGTTCTCCCCTCGCTGTGATGAGAGCCGACACTAGCCCCCTTTTATCGTACTCTGACTGGAACTCTAAAGGGAGTTACATCGAAACCTGCCCTGGCTAGTCCCCCTTTTCAGCCAATCCTCCATTCTTGTTTTAACTGTAGGTTCAATATTATGTTACTTTATGATACATGCCAGTGTCCTACTTTAAATTGTCGAGGAGGCTAATACGGGAGTGGGTCTGACCCCCTCGCGACTTGCTTTGGGAGGGCTGTGGGGGGTACCGCAATAGGCTTCAAGCAGCCCTTTACAGGACTCAACCTGACAGCTGATCCCACAGGCTGTGGGGGCCCCCGGGACTTTTTACCAAGGTGGAGGGTTCATTGACACCCAGGCCTGATGGGAACCGGATCCGCCTAATTTTTTTGGCGTGTAGGCCTGCATCACTCTACATCATCTCATTATTATTTCTCTGAACCACAGTAATATTGCATATCCCTTGATATCCTGAACGATGTTAATATTCACGATCCTCTTCCTGCTGTACGGGGGGGAAAGGGGAAAAAAAGGGAGAAGGAAGAAAAAAAAAAAGGGGGAGGGAGGGGGGAAAGGAGAGTTCTTGATGTTTTATACAGATGTAATGTTATGCTGGGGTACATTAGATAGATAGAAGTGAAAATCGTTTCGGTTACCTATACTTTACCCAAGTTATAACCACCCCAGACTCTTACCCATGTCGGGTACCATTCTTTAGTCCTATCTAAAACCCTACCGCTGTAATGATCTCATCGATCTCCCCCCCCCTCCCCGTCCCGTGGTTTTCCTCGGAGATCCTTCTCCCGCGACACCATGCTCCCTCTATACAGTGGCAGGCTCCCAACATCTATCACCCCTGATACTACATATATATAGCAGAGAAAGAGGGGGGACCATACTCTTACAAAATTTCACACATACACCCAAAAGAAAAAGGAAAAGAGGAGGGGAAGAAAAAAGGAAAAAAAAAAAATAAATAAAAAAATAAAAATAAAAATAAAAAAAACAATAAATATATAATTAATTATTTTCTAGGACCACTAAGACGCTGAATCTGTCTTCGATCCCCTCTGAGCCTGTCCTCCTAACCACCTACCAGGCGACCCTCCCTACATGGGAAGTACCCCCGATAGGAACCAGGACAAATCGGTTATACCCTCACATGCATGACCATACTGACACTACCAACCCGTGATCCCACGAACACCAACATCACACAATAGACGCATAGGATTGTAACGGTCAGGGTAGCACTTCCTGTATGTATATATCCTCACACCTAACCACTTGGAAGAAAAAAGGGGGGTGGTCGGATAAACACCTTGGGAAGAAACACCGGACAATTACAACGCGACCTCATGGACTGAACGCCTGAGAGAAAGCGTAGGAACTGGAGAGTCCCGCCTTGAGAGGGAGGGGATACGGGGCGGGGGGAGGGGGATCAGGGACGGAAAGAACCCTGCTGATCGCGCCCCCCAAACACCCACACATCAATAACCAGGAAAGACTGATAGAGGGGTCCCGATAGGACAAATCCCTAGTCATATACTACCTCAGATAAGAGAAATAAGAGGTCAACTTAAATTGTGTAGGCACACGCGTGACGGAACCCACATATCCCTAATCCCTTCTTACGTTGACCGTGGACGGGATGAAGGAACATGCTCCCAGAAAAACCCTGGCAAAGAGTAAGACCAGAGTTTCTACATCTATACATCTGACTCGATTCGGATGTCTTTCTTCTTCTTCTTCTTTACTATCCTCTCTTTTCTTTCCTATTTATGTGTGGTGCGACCTGGAGGAGCGGTGGAGGCGGAGGGGTGCCCGGGGAGGCGCAAGACATGACACTGAGCCAGACGTGGAAGGACCCGGGTCCCCGAACGGCTATAAAAGACCTAACCAAACACGTCGCGATGATTAAAATCACGTCATTGAATGTTAAAGGAATTAATGCTCCTAAGAAACGCCGCCTTATGTTTAAGGAACTAAAGAGACTGAAGACGGATATTGCCTACATCCAGGAAACCCACCTATCGAAACAAGCCAATGTAAACCTAAAAGACCACATCTTTCGAGGATCATGTGAAGCAAGATCACAATGCAAACGCAACGGAGTAGCTATTCTGATCAGAAACAGCTGCCCGTTTCGCAAGACGACCCATGAAACAGACCCAGACGGCCGATACATTATAGTATCGGGCATCTTGTACTCACATACCATACACCTGGTCAACGTGTATGCCCCTAACCAACCAGACCCCTCGTTCTGGACCACCCTCCGAGAGAAAATCTCCTTACTTCCACATGGCATGGTCTATATGGGAGGAGACTTCAACGCCACCCCATGTCCGGCAGCGGACAGGAGCACTAAAGACGGAACACCGAGATCCCATGGCAGGGGGGGACAAGACCGACTGCTCAAAAAATTTATACTAGACGTGGGCTTAACAGATGTATGGCGAGCGCACCACCCAGGAGACAGGGACTACTCCTTCTACTCAACACCTCATGGCACATACTCCAGGATAGACTTATTCCTAACTAACGCGACAGGCATGCCCAGGATTACAGGTTCTGCGATTGGCAATATATCATGGTCTGACCATGCGGACGTGTCCATTACGTTGGGAAACTTATGTTTGGCCTCGCCGTGGACGTGGAGACTAAACACATCCCTACTGAGAGACCCGGAACTCAAAGAACAGATACGGACTGAAATAGTGGAATACTTCACCACAAATAATACCCCGGATGTTAGCGCAGGGTCAATATGGACGGCCCATAAAGCTGTTATAAGAGGGACCCTTATAAAACTAGCCACTAGGAAGAAGAAGATGAAACATAAACAACTGGAGACCCTGTTGGATCAATTAAGAAATCTTGAACAGAAACATCAAGCAACACCCGACAATGAGATCTATAAGAAACTGGTAGCGGTTCGGAGAGACATCCGCACACTCCTACTGGACGATACCGCTCAATCCATGATCTGGACGAAACGGACTTATTACGAGAAATCCAATAAGACGGACTCACTTCTGGCCCGAACACTGCGACCTAGACAAGAACGATCCCACATCACGGCCATCAAACATCCGGATGGAACGACGAAATCAAGACCAGACGAGATAGCCAAAGTCTTTGAAGACTTTTACAAAAAACTGTACAACCACACACCAGACGCACACACTCCTGACGGAAGTGAAGAAGACCATATTAACAGCTACTTAAATAACCTCGGCCTGCCCAAACTAGGGAGAGACGCGGTGGCCAATTTGTCAGCCGAAATTACAGAGGAAGAAGTACATAGAGCCATATCTACCTTGAAAGGTAACAAAGCTCCAGGCCCGGATGGGTTCGAAGGTACATACTACAAAACCTTCAAAGAAGAACTTACACCCCAACTAATGAAACTCTTTGACTACATGAAACAGGGGGGACTCCTCCCTCCAGACATGACCCTAGCTACCATAGTATTGATACCTAAACCTGACAAAGACACACTCCAACCAGGAAACTACAGACCCATATCATTGATTAATCAAGATCTAAAAATAATAGCAAAAATACAAGCTGACAGGTTAAATCCGCTACTAAACTCACTCGTCCATGCCGACCAAGTAGGCTTTATTCAGGGCAGACAGCTGTTTGAGAATACCAGAAGGAATATTGACCTAATCTGGAAACAAGTGACATCTAAAATCCCTACCCTAGTGGTTTCTATAGATGCAGAAAAGGCCTTTGATAGGGTGAGATGGCAATTCCTCTTTGCGGCACTAAACCACCTAGGGTTCCCGAAAGAATTTATAACTACTACAAAAGCAATGTATCATGAGGTGAGAGCACAGATACAGATCACTGGTGCCCCGATGACGCCTTTTCGACTCTACAATGGCACTAGGCAGGGGTGCCCACTCTCCCCACTCCTGTTTGTACTAGCGCTAGAGCCTTTGATGCAAGCGATTAGACAACATCCAGACATTGAAGGAGTTCGAGTAGGGGACAAAAAGTTTACAGTCTCAGCATACGCAGACGACGTTCTTTTGACCATCACGAACCCATCGACGTCTGTGTCGGCCCTCCAAGATGTTATCAAGGACTACGGGGAATGGTCTGGCTATAAGGCCAACATGCAAAAATCTAGTGCTATGCCGATTGGCATGACTGAGACAGACATAAATCACATACAACTGACCTACCGTATCAGGATGGAAAGAGAGTCTATGAAATACCTGGGTATACACCTAACTACTGACCCGACACACCTCTACTCCGAGAACTATGACCCCCTAATTAGGAAGTTGATAAGAGACTTAGAAAGGTGGTCTGATAAACCTATCTCCTGGATAGGACGAATTAACTCTATTAAAATGAACGTCCTCCCGAGGATTCTATTCTTATTCCAAGCTCTCCCAATTCATGTCACCAAAGCACAACTGAACCCACTTCAACGGTCGATAGCTGACTTCATATGGCAGAACAAGAGGCACAGGATATCAAAACAGATACTCTACAGACGAAAAGAAAGAGGGGGACTGGGCCTCCCAAATCTATACTTCTATTATCTTGCAGCCCAACTAACACAGATAGCTATGTGGCATTCCCCTCCGGAAGAGCGGAGATGGGTCGAAATAGAATCCATGATGGTGGGATGGGACATCCCCCAGTTCACTATGTGGATCCCGAAAGACTATCGACCCCTGATACGAGTGACTTGCCCGTCCATACTTAATTCGCTCCAAATCTGGGACAAAAACAGAACCAAGTACGGACTAGCGACCTCCCCCTCTCCATTGACTCCAATTCTAAGAAATAGAGAGTTCCAACCCGGTATGGCCCCTAAAGATTTCCGAAACTTGGAGAGAACGGGTCTACAACGGATCCATCAATTATATCATAATGGGAACTTAATCCAATTTACGGACCTCCAACAAGATAACCATCTGACTCCCGCAGATTTCTTTAGATATATACAAATTCGAGACTTCGCTAGGAAACCACACATAAAGGCTGCAGCTCAGGGAATTATGACGTTCTATGAGAAACTATGCCTTCACGAAAGGACCCCCAAGGGCATGATAACCCTAATGTACGCCCACCTTAGCACAGAAACCAAAGAATGGGGGAGACTATCTTACACCGACCAATGGGAGATAGAACTAGGAGAAGAACTAGAAGGCATAGAATGGCAAGAAATTTGGGAAGCAAATAAAAACGCCTCCATATGCGTTACGCTACAAGAAAAAACATGGAAGACCATGTTTAGGTGGTACACAACCCCAGTAAAACTTTATAAAATGCATAAAACGGATACCGATGATTGCTGGAGGGGATGTGGAGCCCGAGGTACATACCTTCACATGTGGTGGGAATGCCCCAAACTTCTTGGATTCTGGAAAGAGACAGAAAACCTACTGAAACAAACATTTAATAAACCCCTGACCAGAGATCCATGGGTATACCTCCTAAACAGATCAGTGGACGGATGGACCAAGAGAGAACAGAAACTAGTCCATAAAATAACCCTGAGCGCAAGGAAAACAATAGCGACGAGATGGCTTTCACCAGACTCACCCGAGTTTCCGATAGTGATATCCAGGATCCGCGAATGTAGGATCATGGACGACTTAACAGCGAGAGTAAAGGGATCGACAGAAACATTTCTAAAACTCTGGGAACCATGGGATAACAGCGTAATAGGTTCTAGAGAGGACAGATAGGAACAAACGAAAGATGTAAAGGGGTCCTTGCAGTAGAGCTAAACCAGTGGCAGAACCCTCCTACACAGAGATCCAACCGACACACCTGGCCTAGTGAGATCGGGATGAACCTGCTGCCCCCCCCCCCGCCGCCTTCTTCACGTACCTCCCTAGCCACCTCTAGGTCACTGCAGCCACCACACAATCCTCCCTTACCTTATACCACTTTCTCAGTCTCCCCTTCTTTCTTTTTTCTTAATTCTTCTCTTTTCTTTCCCCGCGCCTATACGGGGAAAATCCATTTCATATCCGCTACTTATTTTGCATACCAACCTCCTCAGACAAGGTCAACGTAACGAACGTAAGGGGAACCCTAGGTACCCCAGATAAACCTCAGATCATTAACCCTATACGTATATCAAAAGACCTACAAACATCAAACTACGGACTAGATAATAACAATATAGCTATATTGATAACGACACAGGACTTACACGATATATAAAACATCATATAGCCCAACGGTAGACCTCAAATTACCGCTGGGCCAGGGACGTCTCTCTCCCACACCTAAGTATCCTAGACAAACCGATAAACTATACTGGGGAATTACACTATTAAAAATCCTTTAAAGAGGATAACCCCCATGGATCCTTTAAATACGAACACATACTGTAAAGATTGAAGTTCATGTGACTGTTAAGAGGTTACCCATACTTTGGCTTCTGCGTAAGCCCAATCGTTGATACTTGGTCATTATAGATGCAGATATTAAGTTCAATGTAGCAATTGCTAACAATGTGTGAAATGGAAGGTTAAATCTACTTGCTTTCTTGAGTTTACTTTTGTTTATTAAAAAAAAAAAATACAAAAATTCCTTGACGGACAGAGACGATGATAGCAATAATGTATAGAAGGCTTAGTTACAGGATGTCTTATTTGAAATGAAGTACATGTACATGACGTACTCTATGGCTTCTGCGAAAGCCTGTAAATTAAAGTTGTATCATTTTGTCCGCCAAGATGGAAAAATAAAGAATAAAAAAAAAAAAAAGAAAGTATACTGCAGAAAACAGCAGGGAAAACCATAAATGCAACTGAATCCATTGCTCCAATAGTTTTTACTATACCATACCAGAGACATTTTTATTTTAAAGGACCACTATAGGCACCAAGACCACTTCAGCTTAATGAAGTGGTCTGGGTTCCAGGTCCACCTAGGCTTAACCCTTTCTGCTGTAAACATAGCAGTTTCAGAGAAACTGCTAAGTTTACTTTAGGATCAATCCAGCCTGTAGTGGCTGTCTCATTGACAGCTGCTAGAGGCGCTTCTCACTGTGATTTTCACAGTGAGAAGACACCAGCGTCCATAGGAAAAGCATTGAGAATGCTTTCCTATGAGACTGGCGGCATGCGCATTCAGCCGATGACGGGGAAAGGAGTGGGGGAGTTAAAGGACACTATAGTCACCAGAACAACTACAGCTTAATGTAGTAGTTCTGGTGAGTATAATTATACCCTCGGCCATTTTCATGTAAACATTGCCTTTTCAGGGACACCTCCAGTTGCCACTACTTAGATGCAGCACCTTTGTTCAGCGTCTCCACGCTCTGCATGGAGGTGTTGAATGTTACCCATAGAGAACATGCGCTCTTCTCTTCCCAATGCTTTCCTTTGGTTTAGCGGAGATCATAAAGATTGATGATCTCAGCCATGGAGACGGTACAAGCCACAGCGAAACACTCTCTGACACAGACACGCGCACAAACACACACACAGACTGACACACACATAAACTGACATGCACACACACATTTTCTCACACAAACACTGACATACACACACCGTGACATACACACACTCAATGATTGACAATTTTAATTTGAATCCACCCAGCCTCCATACCTTTGGGAGAGCTGAGTGGACTTTCACCGGGGTCCAGTGGGTCTGCTCTTGTGAGCAGTAATCTGCCTGCGGCTCCTCTCTGCTCCCTGTAGTGATGACGGGGCCAGAATGACATCATGAGCCGGCTCCCGCCATCACTATACAGGCCGAGTGAGCAAAGTGGAGCTGCAGGAAGGTCACTGCTCCCTTGCGCATTGTCCCAGGGCAGTCGGCTACATGCTACCTGAGCCGGCCGCCTCCATTCTCCCCACGGCAACCGGCTGGCTCCAATGTTCTCCCATCGGCCGCTTTAGCTAAAGGGCTGCAAATCCCAGGCGCCAGAGCAAAATTTCTAGCCGCCATAGCAACCTGGCACCTGGGATTTGTCAAGCCCTGTTTTACACAAAAATAAAGTTATTCTTTTGATTAATGTTATAGAGTTGCACTGCTGCTTCAAAGAATCAATGTTAATTTTGACAACAAATTTTGATTTAGTCAATCTTTTGACTAAAATGTAATTAAGACATTAAAATGTTTTAGTCATAACCATGGTTTTGATGAAAACTATGATAAAAATATTTTGTCTACAAAATTAATACCGTTTCAAGAAATACTGGGCCTGGGCTCTGCCTTACAATTATTATACAAGGACAACAAAATAATCTTCCTTTATAACTTTTGTGAAACAAGAAATAACAGGCCAATTCAGACTCCTATGCATGTGATAACTAGTAAAATGGTTTGACACCTTACTGTGAGACAGCACCAACATGCTGTAGTGGTTATGGTGTATGGAGTGTTCCTTTAACAGAGAATAGGCATATAGATACCATTATGCAAATAACTTGTTACAGACTAATTCAGAATATTCATGTGAAAAATACCACAAGTGCCATATAAGCCATACAAGAGGCCTTTCTAATCAAGAAGAACTATGCCTGAACTTTGTCAATTTGCACAATAGTCTAAAGCAAGCATGTCAAACTTGCAGCCCACAATGAATATATTTGCGGCACACCTGCCCTGGGTCCGCTTTGTGCTGTGATTGCAACCAGCCGCAAAACAGGAAAGATATTTCCTCTCTGATTCTCATCTTCCCTCCCACGGCCACAAGAGTGCAGAGTGTCTGTCTGTCTGCAGAGTAGGCCAGCCATTCCCCCTTCCCTCCAGCTAGCGGTGTCAGAGGAGCGTCTAGCCTGCTTGAGCAGAGAAGAGCAGAGCTGGAACTGGAGGACGGGCAGCTCATCTTAAGGTAGATGAAGAGGGGCTTGGGGGACCTTAAGTGTGTTAACTTGGTGGGGGGGGGGCAGTGTATTAATTTGATCGAGGGGGGAGGGGGCCAGTGTATTAAAGGACCACTATAGGCACCCAGACCACTTCAGCTTAATGAAGTGGTCTGGGTGCCAGGTCCAGCTAGGGTTAACCCTTTTTTTTTTTTAAAATAAACATAGCAGTTTCAGAGAAACTGCTATGTTTATAATAGGGTTAATCCAGCCTCTAGTGGCTGTCTCTTGACAGCCGCTAGAGGCGCTTGCATGCTTCTCACTGTGAAAATCACAGTGAGAAGACGCCAGCGTCCATAGGAAAGTATTGTGAATGCTTTCCTATGGACTAGCTGAATGTGCGCGCAGCTCCTGCCGCGCATGCGCATTCAGCCGAAGAGGAGGAGAGGAGGCGGAGAGGAGGAGGAGGAGAGTTCCCCGCCTGGCGCTGGAGAAAGAGGTAAGTTTAACCCCTTCCTCCCCCCTCAGCGCCACGGGAGTGGGACCCTGAGGGTGGGGGAACCCTCAGGGCACTATAGTGGTCCTTTAAATTGGGTTAGGGAGTGGGCAATGTATTAATTTGAAGGAAGGTTGGGGGCACTGTATTAATTTGGGGGAGGGTGACCGTATTAAATTGTGGAGGGAGTGGGCAGTGTATTCATTTGAGAGAGGGAGGGGGCACTGTATTAATTTGGGGGAAGGAGGGGGCCAGTGTATTTATTTGAAGGACGGAGGTGGCCAGTGTATTAAATTGGGGGAGGGATGGGGCAGTGTATTAAACTGAAGGAGGGAGTGGGCAATGTATTATATTGGAGGAGGGAGTGGGCAGTGTATTAATTTGTGGGAGGAAGGGGCACTGTATTAATTTGGAGGAGGGGGCACTGTATTAATTTGGAGGAGGGAGTGGGCCGGTGTATTAAATTGGGGAGAGGGGGGCAGTGTATTAAATTAGAGTGGTGGGAGTGCGGCAATGTATATTTAATTAGAGTAGAGGAAGTGTATTAGATTAAGGGGCAGTGAATTTGATTGGGTGAATGGGGCAGTGTATTGGATTTGTGGGCAGTGTATTAGAATGGCAGTGTATTAGATTGGGTCTGCATGGAGGTGCTAAACAATCCCCATTGAAATGCTGACTGGCCGCGCAGCTTTTTGCCACATATGCACAATAGCCTCCCAATACTTTCCTCTGGGAAAACTTTGTCTGAGATCATCAAACTTGATGAACACACTCATAGGACTTCAAAATCAACAAGATAACGTAATTTGTTTTTTATAGCTGGGCAACAGCATACTTTTACCACTTCAGTCCCATTACCAAACGTTTCTTAATATGTCAAGGTAGTTGGACTGAAACATTAGTTATATGCTAATGTACGTCTCCTTAAAATAAATTTGCTCTTTTGTTTACTTTGAAGCCCTACAAGCATGAGGATGTCCAGTGTCAGTTAGGCAACTTTTTTTATACTGTACTTTTCAAAATAAACCTAAGTGTCTATAAAACTGAAGTTTTAGTTTTTTTGCGGCCCACATAATCTTAAACCTGGTTTATTTGGCCCGTGTTAGCCTTTGAGTTTGACATGCTTGGTCTACAGGTATCCCAGTGTTTCTAACATTGCTTTATAACTTGTTACACACAAGTATAGAGGGTTGATTCATGGGATACTGGTATCATAAATATATCCTTTGTATATACTATTTTATAGAATGCCATAATAGAGCATTGAGAGATTACCAAAAAAGAAAAACAGATTCTTATTGCCCAAGTGGCATATAGCTCAAACTGGCTAGACCAAATGGATGTTTAAAAAGGAAAGGAAAAGATGAGAACACAATTTTGCAATATTTAAATCCTATTTATTTAGGCAATTATTAATCAGAGTATTTCCAACAAAATACTTAAATAATATGAAAAAATTTATCAGTTTAAGTACTAACAAAAGTTTTTGTGTAAAATAAATTTTTAAAAGTGCTTTTCAGTAATGTAATAATGTGTTGTATTATCAAATGACGCCTGTTGTCTATGTCAGTTCAAGTAAAATGTTCAAACGATAATCTGTCTCCCTTACTAGTATTCTGAAAGGCCACCACAAGGAGGCAGAGTGAGTAATCATTACAAAAAATAATAATGAGAATAGGAATTGGTAGATGGACAAGGCTGTTCCCTAATTTACCCTATAAATAAAGACGTATCACTTGTGATACCTAAATATTTGCCAACCCTTCTGATCCAGCAGAACAGAAGAAGGTGTTTTGCTTGTATACTGAAAACTATTGACAAAGTTTCCAAGCAAGGCCAATCACATTAATGAGAGAGGGAGTGAAGAAGGCAGAATCAGTGGGGGGTTGATACAATTAACACCCAGACACCTATGAGATAGCAGTGCTGGGAAGATGAACCACAAATAAGTAAGAATCTAAAAACTTCTAAAGCAACTAAATATAAATACATATAGATTATAAAATGTTTAAGCATGTGTGGGATAGGCATAATGTTATCCTAGCTATAAGATAAGGCTAGGGACTAATGAAAGTATTTAGATAATTGGGCAGACTAGATGTGCCGAATGGTTCTTATCTGCCGTCACATTCTATGTTTCTATGTCTCTGAGCTCACTGTGGTGGATTGATACTATTGTGTCGATGGGCCGCCACTTGATTTAATATCAAGCAATTTAAGAATGTTTGATATAAACTTGCAGAATTGTGAGAATTCAAAGTCAATTAAAATTTAAGGCCAAAGTAGCTAAACAGGTACATTCTGGGCACCACGGTTATTTCTGTGTTAAGAGTGCTTTAACCCCAAAGTCTTTAAGCTCACACCTGTTAGCTCTGCACCTCCACTTAGAGTTTGAGGCTTCAATCAGGAAACACTGGACTCAGTGCTGCTAATAGGCTCAACGTGTCAGCTGATGCTCTCAGCCAATCAGTAGCTCCCCTTTCACAGATACATATATTTAGTTTCACATCGTTTTGTAAATGGGGAGCAATTGATAGCTAACACATTCAGTCTATCACAAGCATCCAGTCTGAGGTGCCTTGTCTCAAGCGGAAATGGAGGAGCAGAGCTGACGTGCATCAGATTGAAGAGTTTGGAGTTAAACCATTGGTTAACAGTTTAAACACTGAAGGTAAACCAGCATCCGGGACTTCCTCTTGTCACAAAAAATTTACTCCATCGAAGCGGCTATAGTGTCTGGAGTGTTTCTTAGTCAGTTATGCTTCCATCTTAGCCAATTTGTCCTTAAATTTAAAATTCACATTGAATTCACTTTAAATTCTCACTTTGTTACATAACCCTGAACATTTCTATTAACCCATTCTTAAATAGTCTGATATTAAACCAAGTGGCTTGGGACCTCCCCACACCTTAATTCAGATGAAGTTGTTGTAGTGTTCCATTTTGGTCTTAAATATGAAATTCACTAAGAATTTACTTTGGTGAATAACCCTGATGGTGTTTACCCAGCATCTAAGATCTGCTGCCATTGAAAATGCCTAAATTACTTTTTTACAATATCAATTTCTATTTTGGTCAACCTAGACAACACAGATTGGCTTGCGAGTGTTGGCCTAACCCAAACTTTAGCAGGTCAGTGAGAAACTCACTATATTTGGTAGGTTTCTAAAGAAGGAGACAAAAGGGTGGGAATGACTCATATGCACAAATTATACAATATTTACTGCCTTGATCTACCAAATAATATGACTAGGTGCAATCAAGCTCATAAAAAAGAAATATACGGTACATAGAAAGAATAGGAGATCTGGGGAGCATGGATGCATGATGATCCTTATACATAATCACATCCATCACTGCCCCCTGCAAGCCCCATGTATGGCCATGTGACACATACGAGTGTACTGGTGGTTGGTGCTGGGTCAAACCATTCCATTTTCATAGTTTTGCTGATCATGGAGGAGATGGAGTTAGAGGCTGTGTATATCAAGACTTCTAATAAGGCTTCTAGGGAGGACACTGGTTTATGATCAGAAAAAGGTTTACACAGCATTGATCTGCAAAAAATAGCATGCCTAGGTGGGTCAAAACAAAAATACATATACAAAGTATGAAGAGATACAGGAAGCAAGTACACATGATGATCCTTATACACAATTACATACAGTATCAACACTCACACAGTAAACAAATAATGTCCTGATAACAATGGAACAATGTAGAACACGAATGTGATTACCTCTCCATCAGATGTTGCTACCATTGAATGATGTGAGCCACAAGCCACACTAACAACTTTTTTGCTTATTAAGTTAGTGGAAACTTGAGAAGGAGTCAGTGCTTGGTTGGTAGATCCGTTGCCCAACTGGCTATAGGCATTATGGCCCCAACTGAATATGTCGCCCTCTGCAGAAAAACAAATGTTGCATCTCATGATTATGATGGTTATGCCCCAACTAAGGAACGAACAAGATAAACATTACTGTATCAGATTTATTGAAAATCTCTGTATATAAATATATTAGTGGATTCTTAGAAGGGTTTTTTCCCCATACGTGGGTTTCTATGGTGTTTTCCTACTAATCCTTATCTGTAGTTTATACAATACAGCATACACAACATCTGGTAGTGTTCTGTTTAATAACAGTTGTCAAATTCATGAGATGCCAAGACTGAAAAATATTTAAGCATGATTCACATCACATATAAAGTTGAGAATATGCAGGTTCATAAATTATGTTTATTCATATCAGTGTTTACTTGGAGATTTTCACACACAACTATAGTTATTCAAATAATACCATAGATAAAGTCTGAAGAGATACCAAAAGTATGTAATTTATACTTAATATAAAAAGCAGATTTTAATACATAAACACATACATACATACACAAATGAAGCAGCTTTGGTGTGTAGATGGCAAATCTGATTATGTCACCAAGGAGGCGGATCAGGGCGGGGCCAGCACAAGCATGTGGCGCTGGAAAAAAGGTAGGTTTTAATTCCCTTAGGGAGGGGGAGCCAACTATATAATGGATTTAACACTATAGGGTCAGGAATACGTTTGTGTTCCTGACCCTATAGTGTTCCTTTAATAGCTTGCAAGACCCTGCAGGAGCCTCCTGTGTGTGATTAAAGTTCAATTTACAGAGCAGGAGATAAAAACTTTTAAAGTAACTTACTCTTTGATTGAAAGTGAAATCATTTTTTACATGCAGGCTGTGTGACTCACAGCCAGGCGAGGTGTGGCCAGGGCTGCATAAACAGAAACAAAAAACGATTTAACTCCGGAATGGCAGAGAATTGAGCAGTGAGACTTCAGAGGCATGATCTATACACCACAACTGCTTAATTAAGCTTAAGTTTTTTCATGACTATAGTATCCCTTTAAGCAGTGTTCAGGCATAGAAAACACCTACAGGGGTCATTTAACAATGGCTGCAGCGGCAGTGCAAATTGGGCAAAGGGAATTTAAAAGCAATTCAAGGTTAAGTGGTTTACTCATTAAACAAATTGCTGTTTTTAAACCATTGTGCAGTGCAATTTGTTTATGAAATCATCCCAGTTGACTGAATGAAATTCAAAAATGTATCATCTCAACTGTAAAAAATGTCAACTTCAAATGGTAGTATACAAAGTAAGCCCAAACGGCCTGAATCAGTCATGGTTTTGGGTATGATAGCGCAGGGATTCCTAATCAATTCCTGGGCTAGCTTTAAAACAAAAAAGATTATCCTAATGGTTGCATAGTAGACTTAAAGGACCACTGTAGGCACCCAGACCACTTCAGCTCAAAAAAGATCCCCATAGGAAAGCATTTCTCAGGTTTGAATGCGTGAGCGCCTCTGGCTGTACATGCACATTCGGCTCAACTCGGAAGCTGGCATCAATGGATGAGGATAGGTCACCAGCGCCGAGGCAGCCCGGCGCTGGATTAAGGTAAGCAAATAAATGGTTAATTAACCATTTGTTCACCGCGGAACGGGGCCCTAGTCCCTGTATTCCTAATGCTAAAGTGTTCCTTTAAAAAGTACCCACTTGATTCAAAATACAGAAACATTCTGATTTAGCTCTTTTTTTTTTATTACACACCTACCAGACGTAACAGCCACAACATGCGGACCACTTCCACAGCTCAGACTGACTATTTTCTTCCCACAAAGAGCATCAAGTCGTCTTGGTTCAATAGTACTTTGAGCATCCCCGATCCCTAAGCATCCACTGCTGTTGGTCCCGATAACAAAAACCTGCAAATCATTTATTAAAACCGTAAGTAACTCAAATCTGTGATTTAAATAGGAAATGAAAAAAAAAAACATTATAGTTTCTTTAGGGAATCTACACTGCATGGTGGCTGACAAATTGTGCATTACAGTGTATAACATACAGAGGACATAATTGTAGGGGGTTTGAAAACATGATCCAGCTGTTGAGATAGAAAGAAAATAGAGAATATCCAAATAAGAGGGCATTCATAGGACTTTTATTACTGTCGTTATTTATGCAAGAAAGAAAGTTTTATTAAAGATAAACACGATGCATCTTGGCTCGTTAAACACAATTTCTTAAAATAAGGCTGGGAAGAACACAGATACCATGTGTTTGTTAATGTGGAATTCAGGTACTGTGTTCAATCCCTATTTCCTCCAAACTACAAAATACAATTTGCTTTTTTTTGAGATTTAGAAAAAAAATAAATAAATAAAAAAGGTTAGAGTATATTAAAAACAGATTAGAAGAAGTCAAACTGAAATTCAAGAAGTAAAAGCTTAAGAAAGCTGGAAGAGTAATTGGCAAAAATGCAAATACATTTGGATTAGGTGCTTTGGGACCATTTCCTCTTATTTCACACTTTCTCTGTGAGGTTTGTAAAGCATTTTGGAAAGAAATAGGCAGTTTTTAGACAGATAATACATGTTTAGAAACAGTAAAATAAGATTTTAAATTTTTTGGTCTTTCTTTCTTCTGCAAAGATGGAAATTCATTTCTCAATGAATTATGATCTCTTGGATCAAGTTACCAAGGAACTATATCAAGTTAAACTAGATATAATAAAGGGGCACTCTAAAGCAAGTATCATAACTCCTACAACCCACTGTAGTCTGACACCAACAGAGAGTCCTCTGAGTATCATGGTGTGGCCCCTTACTTGTCAATTTGGCGATTCTCTCTGTATTTTTGTAGCATGAGACATGTTGAGAATAGCACTCACATCTAAAATATCATAATGTGAAAAGGACAGTTTTAAAAAGGTACAGTGTATACTTACTAATTATTTAACTGTATATCTTAAAGGGACACTATAGTCACCAAAACAACTACAGCTTATTGAATTTGTTCTGGTGAATAGAATCATTACCTTCAGGCTTTTTGCTGTAAACACGGTCTTTTCAGAGAAAATGCAGTGTTTACATTACAGCCTAGTGATAGCTTCACTGGCCACTCCTCAAATGGCTGTTAGAGATCCTTCCTGGGTCATGGCTGCCTAAAATGCATCCAAACATTCAGTGTCTCCATCCTCTGCATGCAGACACTGAGCTTTCCTCATAGAGATTCATTGATTCAATTCATCTCTACGAGGAGATGCTGATTGGCCAGGGCTGTGTTTGAATCATGCTGGCTCTGCCCCTGGTCTGCCTCTTTGTCAGTCTCAGCCAATCCTATGGAGAAGCATTGTGATTGGACCAGGCCACCACTTCTGATGATGTCAGCAGACTGCTTGTTTTTCTGAGTCTAACAGCATGCAGAGTTACAGCTTCAGGCTTGAATACAGTACGATTTTGCTATATTTATGGAGGCAAGAGGGGTCCAGGGGTGCTAGATGGTGGTTTTAACACTATAGGGTCAGGAATACATGTTTGTGTTCCTGACCATATAGTGATCCTTTAACATAATCAAGCAGCACTATAGAGAAGCACCATTAGTAACCACTGAAAGCTTCTGAATTGAAAGCATATTATCTATATATACTATTCAAAAGAAAAACAATCTCACTGTACATGACGTAGCTATAACCAAATAAACAAATATAAGCCAATATGATACATGTTTCCATGTAGAAGTAGTATATGAAAGTGCAGGAATGCGCTGACATATTCTTGGGACCTATGCTACCAGGTGAGCACTGTATTTTCATGTATGCCCACAAACACAAAATCAAAGTCCCCTAATGAAATAACCTTGTCCAAGTACAAGAGGAAACTACTTTTCATGTGAAAATGAGAACTGTCTGATTGATTTCAAGGAAGGAATTTAGAGTTGGACAATTGAAAGGCATTCTCAAATAGTACTAAGAAAAGAAATAGTGGCTAAATCATATTAAGGGTAGCTACTAATATGGGGTGAATATTTTTAAGAACACTTTTTCAATCATGAATCCTCATTAAAAACCAATGTGTGATCAATCTACTTTATAAAGGATTGCTTATTCACTAAACTTCAGACTGCACCAAATTGAAATCCAAATGACAAAATTTCGGCAAAAATACTGGATTATAACAAATTCTCCAACTAAACTATAGTAACACGTTTTGCATTTATTTTGCCACCAAGATTTTAATTTGGTACAATATATATTTATTCGTAAAATGTTTGGTATACATTTCCAGTTGGAGAAATTGAAAACTGCTGTAAATAAGTGCACTTTGTCTTCTACCAATATTTATATAATTATATATAATTGGTAGAAGACAAACTGCACTTTTTTACAGCAGTTTTCAATTTCTCCAAGTTGGAAATATGTACCAAAAGTTTTATAACTCCGAATTGCTGAAAAAAGCCAGCAGGGGGTGCAAGTGAACAAGAAGTATGTTTGTTAAGTCCAATTTATTGAACGATAAGTGTTATATTGGAATGTAATTAATGCATAAAGATCCAAGTGCATATTATTAGTATTCAGTATTACTTAGAACCAGAGACACAGAAGCCAAATCTGCCATGATTCTCTGGTAATGAAAGATACATCCATTTACTTGCAGTTTTAGTTTAAAATAGATTTAGCAGCACAGGAAATCCATCAAAACTTTGAAACGTGCTAGATATCAACACAAGCAGAGATGTACACTTTAATTATCAAGATATTCTGCAACAAACATGGCTTCTTAAGCACACATACAGGGACTGAAAGATTTCTTTTTAATCCAACTTGCCAACTCTCCCGCATGTTGTTAGATAGTCCTACATTTAAAATAAGAGCTCAGAGAGTTAAGTTTGACATGTGGACAAACAGCTCCGTAAACATGCTGTGTTTCTCAAAATTTCTGGTGGTGGATCGCTTGTGGCAGCCCTGTTTGCAGTATGTACGTGAAGGAATAATGTTCTCCCCAAATCTCTCAAGACACTCATTTTCAAAAGGCATATCTACTATGATATAACACAGGGGTCTTCAAACTCCGGCCCCCCAGATGTTGCTGAACTACAACTCCCATGATTCTTTCAATTACATAGATAGCCAGAGAATCATAGGAGATGTAGTTCAGCAACATCTGGGGGGCTGGAGTTTGAGGACCCCTGATATAGCATTTATGGAGCTCCCCTGAATAGTCTTCCAACTCCAATAGTAATTTATTATTGTTTAACTTCTTTATTGATGTTCACATTAAATATCAATATTTTATTTTCCTGCTGTGAAAGCAATGAAAAATAAGAGAGAAAAAATGCTGTCATGAAATGTTCACTTTAAACTTTATACAATTTTTTTTGTTGGCTTTCAATTTCCCAGTGATTTAATAGTTTAATGGTTTAAGTTGCCAGCAGTGCCCTGGTGCTCCTATGTAAGTAATCAAACCGTTTAGTAATGTTTTGACTTTTCTGTGGGGTCCACTGTGCACCGCTGCCTTCCTTCTCTCAGCTGCAAGCTCTCAGCAGGTAGATTAGGGTTTAGCTCATTGGCTGCTAAATATCAGCTGATGCTCCCAGCCAGCGAACTAGTGCTGCACTGCAGGTTTTAACTTAAGAGAGCCAACTAAAGCTCTTAGTAGAAGGTACTCTTGGAGGATAACCGAAAGGCGGGGAGTGGCTCCCGGAATGTCCCACGTAAGAAGGTAAAAAGTTACAGATTGATTTGACTACTTACATTGGGGAGCCGTGACAGGACACTCTGTAGTGGTTATAGTGCTTTGAATGTTCCTTTTAACTCGAATTTATTCTTCTTTTTTTTTCTGGAACTATTCCCAATTTGAAATACTGCCATTGGGCACCTGCTGTTGCCATCATTGGATGTCCAGATAGATGTCCAGCATGGACAAAACGGACATTAGCCAACCCAGGCTAGCTATTGACACTACAATGACACTGCTGAACGTGGCACTACATCACTGGCAGAAGATGGGGTAAACTCTTTGTGTTCACCATTCCGTAACGAAATGCTTGAGTAAACGTTTAAGAAAAGGGTATATTTTTTTTTTTTCATTGCTTAGAGTCTGTGTGTAGTGTTGAATACGAAATGTTGCAGGCTGCTAATGTTAATTTTGTGCATAAAATGTTTTTCTGTCATCAGCAAACATAGTACATAGCATATTGGAACAATGACCAATGGCGCACCTCACCCATGGCACCCTTGCTCTCCAGGAGATTGGAGACCCTTACACCTGCAGGGAGGGAGAGTGATGTTACAGGGGAGACCATTCCAGCAAGAGTTACTACCTCCAAAAACAATGTTTGACTAAACCCTTGAGGGAGCTGGGAACTTTTCTTTGGTCACCCCTGCTTTAAAACAAAGACACATACATATTTTAGAGAATATTAAATACATGCTAAAGTTTCTGTGTATATTCTGCAAAACTATACATAGGCTGTGTCCCAACATACTGTATGTAGATAAGTTGCTTCATTCAATTCTTTAGTGTAATCTTGAACCAGTAGGTCCTTACAAAGCTGCAGTTTGTTCATAGAGTAGAAGAAAGTGCAAAGTGCATAGCATCTGTTAATTTCACAAATGTTTTTACCTCATCATTCTTCGTTACGTATAAAACCTCATTTCCAGCACCAAACACACAAGCTTGCTGGATAAACTTCAGGTCCTCTTGCGGGCAAAGAGCAAATATTGGCCACTTTCCAATGTCTACCATTGTCTGGGCAGCTGGTAATCACACGCACAATCTAAAAGTAAACACATGGAAGCTAAATGTTATTTGTATAAAAAAAATAACAATTGTGAAAATTATAAATATATTTGACATTTAAACAAGCCAAATACAAGCTAAACCTCAAAGGATTAAAGGCAAGTTGTTATCCTACCACTATAGCTTAATGTAGTGGTTTCAGGCCACACAGTTTGGTTCTGCAGCCCCAGTAGTGTAAACACTGCCTTTCCTGAGAAAAATAATTAACTTAAAAAGTGTTTACACTGCTGTCCAACACCAACTCTAGTATAGAGGGGCTTCCTGGTAGAGCCCTGCAAACACTACAGGACCAACAGTCAGTGTCTCCACTCTGCATGGAGACGCTGAACACTACACACAGAGATGCATTGATCAGTGCATCTCTATAAGGAGATGCTGATTTGCCACACATGTGCAATAGCCTCCCAATGCTTTCCTATAGGGAAGCACGAGATTGGCTGAGATCATCAGGACTGATTATCAAAATTGGGTGGTCGCAGTGAGACCTGCACCAGGAGAGTAAATATATTTTTTCCTTATTATTGGGGGAGGTGAGAAGGGGAGGGGCCAATTATGAAAATAGTTAAAGTAATAATACAGCATTGGGAATTAGGGGGGCGTGATCTGGATGGCAGCTGAGCAATACATGCTGTAAGTGAGCTCCACATCCCCACCCGGCATTAAGCAGCTTACGCACCTAAATCACTCCAATAAAGATGATTTGAAACCAAAAGATGAGCTCCCTACACATCTCCTAGATGAGCTCGCCTCCATCCCACACGCTTGACCAGTTTCTGCCAACTCCCAAGGTGTCTGCCATATAAAGCAGGTGAAATCCTGTTTCATCTGTATGGATTTTGTTTTATTTGTTTTCTTCTACTTTCAGTAGATGCTCCAGGAACTTAAAGACACCATTAGGTGGCGGAGATCCGAATGGATATTACATGGCTTGACGCCAGAATCACAGGCCTAGAAGAGACCACGAGAGGTATGACCACAGGCAACAACAAGTAGATACGGCTGTTGCGAAGCAGGGCCACTTGCTCTTGGAACTCTGGAGACCTCAATGCCCTGTGTGCCCTTTCAATTACAAAGTCCTCCAGGACTGTATTATGTAGGACCAGGTTAAATGGGTCAAAATTGTTTCAAAATGACACTACGTGGTACAGCATGAGATGGCCTGAGGACGCACGCAGGTTTTTGGTATATATCCAACTGTATTTTACATCCAACCATGGGATGATAACCACTATTACCGGCCAGAACCCAGAGATCTAAGGCTTCGGACATTGACAATAGAAGTAGGAGGTGTAACATAAGAATCAGAGGCCTAGCAAAAAAGGAGCACTGCGCTACAAAAAGGCATCCACTGTAAATGGAGTTTACCATTCTCTCTGCAGGCCCAAAATGACACTACGTGGTACAGCATGAGATGGCCTGAGGACGCACGCAGGTTTTTGGTATATATCCAAATGTAGTTTACATCCAACCATGGGGTGATAACCACTATTATCGTCCAGAACCCAGAGATCTAAGGCTTCACTATCATACATTCCAGTCCACCCTGCCAATTCGGAACAGTAACAAAAATGTAATGCATAGAGTGACTGCTTTATGGCTTAGGCCTCAAGCCTAAAAACAAGAAATAAAATAAATCACACCAACGCATTTTGCCTTATTGCATGGGCTTTTTCAAAGTGTGTTATAGAAACCTGGACATTATCTGCTTTTATAGCAGAGTAAAATTAAAAATTTGGGGTCATGAGACATCAGTCACATTATAGTAAATAATTACCATACAGGATACATAGAATTGAATTAAAGGACCACTATAGGCACCCAGACCACTTCAGCTTAATGAAGTGGTCTGGGTGCCAGGTCCAGCTAGGTTTAACCCTTTTTGCAGTAAACATAGCAGTTTCAGAGAATGTTTACCTATGGGTTAATCCAGCCTCTAGTGGCTGTCTCATTGACAGCCACTAGAGGCGCTTCTCACTGTGATTTTCTCATGGTGCTACCATCAGCTCCACCACGCAGGCTCGCTGCCTATGTGTTCTCTTTGACTCCGACCTCTCCTTCAAGCCTCATGTTCAATCTATCGCCAAATCCTGTAATTTCCATCTCAAAAACATTGCGCACATCCGCCCCTACTTAACGCCAGATGCGACTAAGGTGTTGGTCCATTCCACTGTCCTCTCTCGCCTTGACTACTGTAATCCGCTTCTCGGTGGTCTTACGTGCACCCAACATGCGCCGTTACAGTCCATAATGAATGCGGCGGCGAGGCTCATCTTCCTGTCCGCCCGCACCTCCCACGCCTCACCCTTCTGTCAGTCCCCACATTGGCTTCCTATAAAATATAGAGTTCAATTTAAAATTCTGGTTCTTGCTTTCAAATCTCTACATAATGCTGCTCCCACCTATCTATCCTCCCTTATACACAAGTATGTCCCGTCTAGGCCCTTACGATCTGCTGAAGACTTACGTCTATCTTCTGTCCGTACTCCAACCTCTGATGCTCGCCTTCAAGATTTCTCGAGGGCTGCACCGTTCCTGTGGAACTCGCTTCCCTCCTCCGTTAGATGCTCACCCAGTCTCCAAAAAAAATTGTTAATAGCTCCTGACTGATTCCTCTTCTGCAACTGTCACTAGTCTAATACTACCCTTACCTTTTGTGTCACTTTACCCCAGTCCCTCTAGCATGTAAGCTCATTGAGCAGGGTCCTCAACCACTCTGTTCCTGTGTGTTCAACTTGTCTAGTTACAACTACATGTTCGTCCACCCATTGTAAAGCGCTGCGGAATTTGACGGCGCTCTATAAATATCATAATAATAATAATAATAATAATTTTCACAGTGAGAAGACACCAGCGTCCATAGGAAAGCATTGCTAATGCTTTCCTATGAGACTGGCTTGCCGCGCATGCGCATTCAGCCAATGGCGGAAGAAGAGGAAGGAGAGTCCCGGCGCTGGAAAAACGTAAGGGATTAACCCCTTCCTCCCCTTCAGCGCCACGGGAGTGGAACCCTGAGGGTGGGGGCACCCTCAGGGCACTATAGTTGTCCTTTAAAAACGAATGTGTGAGGAGTAAAGGTTAAAATGACATGTATATCATCTGAAAAGTGTAAAAATTAGGTGTATTTGAGGTAAAACACTGTATGGATGGAGCAGGGAGTGTGGCCAAGATAGCGCAGCGTCTTAAACCAAATGGGAAAGGAAAGGTTTTTTTACAGTAAGAACAAGAAGGATGTGGAATCTCTGCTGGAAGAGGTGGTTTCATCAGAGTCTGTACAGATGTTTAAACAGTAACTGGATGAATACTTAAAAACATAATGTTAAAGCCACCCAAGGGCTGCCGGCTGGCAAGTCACTCCGGGTTGGACGGGCTCACTAACTTATATTACAAGAAATTTACTAAGACATTGGCCCCGCACTTACTTAGGACTTACCAGCGAGCGATGGAGGGGGTGCCCTGTCTTCGGAGATGTTGCTGGCCACCGTAGTGACCCTCCCTAAGCCTGGTAAACCCACAGATACTTGCAAGAATTTTCGTCCCATATCCCTTAACACAGACACGAAGCTGTACGCCAAGATACTGGCGAACAGACTAGCACCGATCCTACCTACACTTATTAGGGACGACCAGACAGGATTTGTGTCTGGTCGAAACGGGCTAGACAACACCCGTAAATTTTCCGTGGTGCCCAGAAAGCTGAGGGGGTCTAGGCAGGGCAGTCTCTTGCTAGCTTTAGACGCGGAAAAGGCGTTCGACCGCCTTGGCTGTCCCTTCCTGAAAGGAGCTTTGGGGTCCTATGGATTTCCCGCTTAAGTGATAAAACAAATTTTTGCATTGTATTCTAGCCCCACGCTAGAGGTGCTCCAGGTGGGTTTTCTCTCCTCCCCTTTCAAAATTTCCCAATGGACTAGGCAGCCTTGGAGAAGAAATACTCATTGTCCAGGTTCTTCCAGTACTCCAATGTTCAACTGAGGCTAAACAATGCCACAAAAAGGACATCCCTGATACTTTAGCTACTGCAATCACAACCTGGGAACAAATTTGTATCAATGGCTCATTACCACCAGTTTGTAAACCGATCTCCACGAGTTATCGTACACTCTCATACCACACACCCTTTACCACCTCAAGCTTGGCACAGCAATGGGAGAGAGAACTACAATGCACACTTTCCTCTGCTACATGGGAAAGCATTTTTAAACTACCCAGACAGCTGATAAAATCTTCTGCCCATATGGAACAGCACTATAAAACGGCCAATAGATGGTACCCAGTAGACTGCATAAATTGTACCCGTACACACCTGCCTCTTGTTGGCGCTGTAAAACTGAAGAAGGTACTACCCTCCACACATGGTGGACCAGTCAAACAATCCAGCCCTTTTGGAAAAGTGTGCACGACACCGTTCAAGCAGTGACTGGGTGTAAGATACCTCTAACTCCGGAGCACTTTTTACTACAAGACCTGCCCGCAGAGATCAAACAGAAAATAACGATGCACGTACCATTAACAGCACAGAGGCTCATTGCACAGGCCTGGAAATTAACGATGGTACCACCTCTGCGGAGGCTACTCACTGAATTAGACAAACAATGTTTGTACGAGAAAGACCTGAAGAAACTATTTCCCCCCCCCACACAAGGTTCTCTAAATGCATGGGACATGTGGGACTCGGGGAGATTAGTTGTATGTCGCATTGCAACCCTGTATTTTAAAGTATTCTTTAAAGTATGCTTCCATTTGGTAATGCGCTGACGATGCATGCTCCTGTTCTCGAGCAAGGTGTATTGTTGTTGTACTGTTGACATAAGTGAACCTACTCACGGTTATGGTGTCTACAATGCGATTTCTGTCCACATTGCTAATTGACCTCCTGTGTCAAATGAACGAAACACGGTTGTGGTATGTTCTCTGCATGAACTCTGTATGTAAAATGTTCATTTTCTCTTGAGTGTTGACAGCGCTCTTCCTCCCCCTTTTTCCTTTCTGTACCCCATGATTATTTTATAAAATCAATAAATATTTTAATGGAAAAGAAATATAATGTTCAGCGATATCATTTTTAATAAGTGAGGTAATAGCTACTTGATCCAAGGAGAGACCTGACTGCCATTCTGGGGTTAAGAAGTAAGAGTTTCCTAGTTTGTTGCAGAATTGAAAAGTGCTTCAAACTTGATCAACAGCAAAACTGACATGAGAAAAGCTGAACTTAAATGGACACAAGTCTTATTTTTAAGTAATATTTAAAAAAAAAAAAAAAGAGGCAATTTCAACAGGTAGCCTGATATTGCTGAGCCAATTGAGACTGGCTGACAATCTGTTTGCCATTGAGGGTACCCCTCCAATATTTATCATTCTAGGAACATTTAAACACCAACCTTGAGAGATACAAAACTGAATACAAACCATAAAAATGCAAAGTAGAGACAATGACATCCAGGTAAATACAGTGCAGTCTGCATCCTCTCCCCCTAAAAATGAAAACTAAATCCATGTGTTGTAGGCTACATTACTTTCCTCATTGTGATTACCAAAATATTAAGGACTTGGAAACCAGCTATTTGAGGACATATGTAGCATTGTCATTGCTATTTATATGTTCTCTTTATGGATTAAAAACAACACCAGGAATATTTGTTGCTGGTTTTTTGACCAAAAAAACAAACCAAAAAAAAAAAAAAGTAAAATAAATAAAAAGCGTTCACATCTAAATTAGTTTATACTAAGCTTTCAAGCTAGAATGTAAAAGGAAACTGTTCTGACAAATAAATATGACAAAGAATAGCTGGGAATATTTATATGATGTCTTCCGTTTTGGTTTGTTAAAAGTACACATACATAAGAAAAAGAAAATAAATTATATGGTCTAACAAAATATGTTTGTTTGGGGAGCATGAATTAAATACATCAACAGTTTAATCTGTGCATATTTCAGGTAAAAAATACCAGAAAAATAAAACTGCAGATGATTTAAAGGAGAACTGATGAGGGGGTGGGCTCTGCCGCCAACTGACAACGGTAAACATATCTAGAGATCTAGAATTATTTGGTGTTCTATAATTGCCTTTTCTGCCCGAGGACACCCTAACTCGTGTTTGTACTGCAGTATTTGAGACCAGCCACAACTCTTTCAGGCCCCCTGTCTACTGAAGCCTACTAAACTGTTGTGGCAGGGTATGCAACTAGCTTCCCACCCTTTCAATACATTGCATAGACAGGAGCCCCAAGGACTAGTGGAGTTATGCCAGTCCCCACTGGAGACAAGCCTGCTATTCACAGAGAATGCAGACAACCATACCTAAAATGGTTGACATACTCATTATCCAGCAACTACATCTGTTGCAGTCCATTTGGATAGAGACCAACCTAAAAATCAGAACTCTTCTGTGAGGCGCAGAGAGTACCAGGCGAACAAAGAGGCAACTTCCAGCAGCTTCTTACCTGGGCCGCGAGCCTTGGAGGGACAACCTCTCCCATTCCGGAAGGGATGGCCCTGGTGGACCCTCCAAGGACGCTGATTTGCACACTAAGAGAAGACTGACCTGTTGGCTCGTGGGAAGGCCTGGGGTCGAGTACTGCTGCAGCTAAGTGTGTGGGTCGCTGGGCATTGCCGAAGAGTAGTTGTCGGACATCGAGAATTGGGTGAATCGAGGTTCATGAGAGCCTATGTGGAATAACTTTAGTCAACCAGTTTGCATTTTGTCTTTTCTTTGTATCATACATTTAGTTTTATTTTCTTAACATGGCTTGGCCACTCGTAGCTATTGGCTCCAGAGGAGTCATACTTGTGCATTTAAGCTGTTGGGTCTTAAAATATTATTATGCTATGGCAAAGCTTTGTTTTGTCTCTAAAGTAATCTTTCATTTTAAACAGATCTTTTTCAGTATGTCTTGTACTTTATCATAGATCTAAACATCTTCTTACAAGCTCTATAACGAAAAAAATTACTGCATTGTTTACATATATAGCAATCTTTACTGCCATTTATCTTCTTGCTGTTATGTCCCTACTAGCCTGTATTATGATCTCTGCACTGCAAAAATAAAACAAAATAAGTGGAATGATTCCATGATTTTATAATTGTTTACTTATCCCTATGTTTAACAAATATGTAATTGAGGTGTGGACAATAACATTAAATGTAGAAATCCAGATTTCTTTATCCTGAATCTGGTCCGAGACACTTTAAGTCTAAGGTGATATTTATTAAAATCTGTCCCATTTTTCATCTGTTGCTTTTTTGCACACCAACAGTGATTGTTACATTCCAATAATTAAGTTACTTTTCAGAACCCTATAATATATATTCCCCAATGTTTATATGTATTCTTTTCATTTACAAGGTTTGTACTGGCTTTGCTTTGTGTGAAATGCAGAATTATTCATTTTAAAATAAAACACAGAATCTCCAAAAATAAAAGGTTAACACAAGTTATAGGTGATTTTCAATATTTTACTAAATGGTGTAAGTTCTAGAGAAGAGATAGTTCTTCAAATTTGACAGTTGAGCAGTATCTTTCAGTGTTACACACACAGACAGACACACACTTGTGTGTATATTAACAACAAGTTGGGGTGGACAGAAAGATGAGCCTCGCCGCTGCATTCATTACAGACTGTAACGGGGGAAGTTGGGAACACGTAAGACCAATGAGAAGCGGATTACAGTAGTCAAGGCGAGAGAGGACAGTGGCATAGACAAGCACTTGAGTCGTATCAGGCGTTAAATAGGGTCAGATGCCTGCTATGTTTTTGAGATGGAAGCAGCAGGGTTTGGCGATTGATTGGACAAGAGGAGTGAAGGAGAGGTCGGAGTCAAAGAGAACACATAGGCAGCAAGCCTGCGAGGTAGAGCGGATAGTAGCGCTAGATAGATAGAACAATCCAAACACCATAACTACAGTGTTGTCAAATGGTTTGACATGGTACCTGGGTTAATAAGATAAGCAATGCACTTTTCTTGGTTTTACTTTTTCTCCCTATACGACAGCAACAAAAGTTTAATTACTTTAAAACATTTGATGTAACTAAACTCCTATTGACAGAATGGAAAGAGTATATTGCACATTCAGGGGTTACATTACTCCAAGCACCATGGCCACTTCAGTGCTTTGAAGTGGTCATGGTGCTTGTAGTCTCTCGTACAGTGAGATTTGAAATGAAGATTTCTTTGGGGGGGGTTTTGTTTTGTTTTTTTAAACAAAAGGACAAGCAAGGGTTAAAAAAAACATGGGTTTTTTTTTGGTTAGAGTAACCCTTTAACATAAATTTTACTTTGTAAGCTTGTTTCCTTGCCGCTGATCCTAAAATTGTATTAATATTTTATCTCTGCCAAGATATACAAATTAAATAAACTGAAAGATTAATCCATAGAAGAATCTTTTCCTCAACCTCACCCACCCTAAAAGTTAACGTTTATAAGTAACAAATTGTACAAAAAGGAAACTATGAGGAAGGATGTTATCCAAGATTACATCTAATGCACGTAAGCAGCCATGAAAAGTCAGGGCAGACATTGTATCTGTAGAAATCAAAGTTCAGCATATAAGAAAAAAAACAAAAAAAAAAAAACAGAATTTTAAAATCTTCATATACACACACACACACACACACAACAAAATTACTGATGCTTGGTAGATACAGATATCAGTATACTGAGATTTAAAAAAAAAAAAAAAATCCAAAAAAAAAATCAGCTGACTTTTGGCAATGACCACTCCCACCCCCATCCCAAACGTAGACAGTTCAAGTACATAATAAATCTACATGGTCACAATTTCCTTCCATGACAACTGGTGTTCCTTGCTATGCACCTTCCGACTCTCTCCTTATCTTGTTTTCACTGAACGTCACTTTGGTAACAACTTATTCAGACATGTTAGCATGTTCTCTGTAACATAACACACTATAGGAATTCTGTATATTGCTGAGAAACGGCTCAGAATTAAAAAGAAATACAGAATAATATATTATCCACTGAGATCTGAAAAAAATGTTCACAAAAAAATAAATATGCACGATTACAAAACAATCCTTACTACATAGCAAATGGAAGCTCACTTTTATAATTTTCTATATTCCTAAACAAACATGGCGGCATATACTTATTTGTAATGCCCAAGCAGTATAGAAACATAGAAACATAGAAACATAGAATGTGACGGCAGATAAGAACCATTCGGCCCATCTAGTCTGCCCAATTTTCTAAATACTTTCATTAGTCCCTGGCCTTATCTTATAGTTAGGATAGCCTTATGCCTATCCCACTCATGCTTAAACTCCTTTACTGTATTAACCTCTACCACTTCAGCTGGAAGGCTATTCCATGCATCCACTACCCTCTCAGTAAAGTAATACTTCCTGATATTATTTTTAAACCTTTGTCCCTCTAATTTAAGACTATGTCCTCTTGTTGTGGTAGTTTTTCTTCTTTTAAATATAGTCTCCTCCTTTACTGTGTTGATTCCTTTATATATTTAAATGTTTCTATCATATCCCCCCTGTCTCGTCTTTCCTCCAAGCTATACATGTTAAGATCCTTTAACCTTTCCTGGTAAGTTTTATCCCGCAATCCATGAACCAGTTTAGTAGCCCTTCTCTGAACCCTCTCTAAGGTATCAATATCCTTCTGAAGATACAGTCTCCAGTACTGTGTACAATACTCCAAGTGAGGTCTCACCAGTGTTCTGTACAATGGCATGAGCACTTCCCTCTTTCTACTGCTAATACCTCTCCCTATACAACCAAGCATTCTGCTAGCATTTCCTGCTGCTCTATTGCATTGTCTGCCTATCTTTAAGTCATCAGAAATAATCACCCCTAAATCCCTTTCCTCATATGTTGAGGTTAGAACTCTATCAAATATTCTGTACTCTGCCCTTGGGTTTTTACGTCCAAGATGCATTATCTTGCACTTATCCACATTAAATGTCAGTTGCCACAATTCTGACCATTTTTCTAGTTTACCTAAATCATTTGCCATTTGGCTTATCCCTCCTGGAACATCAACCCTGTTACATATCTTAGTATCATCAGCAAAAAGACATACCTTACCATCAAGACCTTCTGCAATATCACTAATAAAAATATTAAAGAGAATGGGTCCAAGTACAGATCCCTGAGGTACCCCACTGGTGACAAGTCCAAGCTTCGAATATATTCCATTAACTACAACCCTCTGTTGCCTGTTACTCAGCCACTGCCTTACCCATTCAACAATATTTGAATCCAAACTTAAAGATTGCAGTTTATTGATAAGCCTTCTATGTGCAACAGTGTCAAAAGGAGGGACCAAGGTCAAATATAGCGAATAGTTATAAAACCTTTCTCGAACTGCACAAACTTATCAAAAGCCAAACTAGCAATCAACAGGATATTGTCATATCTGCTGAGACAATTTATTATACTTAGCCGAGGTGGGAAAACATACTTTACAGCTATGGAGACAGATGAACTGCTGGAGGCCTGTATTTCAGCAGCAAATGGGGGTTTGAAAACAGACATAGGGGAAACCCAGGGAGGCGACTCTTACATCTGTGGGTCTTCAGGGATTAGACGCAGAATCCTGGCTGGGTCTACAAAGTAACGGCCTGCTGAACATAAAATAAAAATCTAGGCCTGCTTAAAACGGCACTGTCATGGCCACAACCATTTTTTGTTTTTTCCCACTCTTCCAACTCTGTGTGTGTGTGTGTATAGATCTGATTTTAAACGTGTGTACGTCTGCATGATTTTGTGTATAGAACTGGTTTTAAATTTTTGTCTGTGATTGTGTGTATATATGCTTGTGTATAGGCCTGTGATTATATATGTGTGTATATATCTGTGGTTATGTGTATGTGTATGAACATGTGAATGTTTAGTTGATAGCTCCCTAATTTGGTATCCTAAAATATGGCAATTCCACATTAAGCATCACAAATAAGGGAGTTTTCTATTAAACAAATGAAATATCAAAAATAAGAAAACGGCTTTTGAAGTTTTATTATATAAATGATATTATATATTTTATGTGCGGCCCAAGACAATACCTCTTCGCTCAATGTGGCCCGTGGAAGCCAAATGTTTGGACACGCATGCTTTAATCAGAAGCTACAGTCAAAACATCCAGATAAATACAGTGGCTAAAAGGCTTAAAACAACTTCTCCTTTAAGAAGTTAAATGCTGAACAGATGCACTACACTGAAAATAATTAAGGCGTCAGATGTAACAGCTACCTTAAATGGCTTGTGTGTAATAGTAGATTTGTTACAGATATTAAAACTAACCTCTGGAAATATATGAAAGTAGCTTTGTACTCTATTTTCAACAGTTATGTTCCTTTGGTCCATAGACCACGACGTCTATTCAGAATCAAAGATCTGCAAAAAACAAAAAAACATATGTCTTTAACAAAATACATTCCTGAGAATGGTTAACACATGGGAAACGTTGATCTAAAATGAATTGGTAACCAACATATCAGGCTGGAATACATTTTGTCTCTGTGCTGGCCTTGGAGTAATTTGAAGTAGGTCAATGCTTCATGCAGCCAGTCTGAACTGACATAGATAGAAGTAATTATGGTAAAGCGCAAGAAAAAAAAAACAAAAAAACCTTAAAACCTTTTCATTATACAGCTGCGAGATTCTTTGTCAGGAAGGATAGGTGCTTTTTTATTGTAATCCTGACTAGACGTACATTTGATTTTGAGATACACAATTTGAACAAAGTAACCGCTTCCCGAAGAGCATGGGGAACAGCGGTCCAGGTGCTTTAGAGAGTCAACAAAAATTTAAGTGGCCCTATACAAAAAACAAAACAAAAAAAAACACAATTAGATTGATGCATGGATGTGGAAATGATATCACCAGACACCTGATGCAGGGTATTGCAATATTCAACAACTGGAGACAGGCATTACAACAGATTCGCAGACAGACAGGTCGTCTTGAGCGCAAGGCAGCCCTGAAGATTTTGGTGCCAGGCAGGTAATATGAGGTATGCACCTCCGGTTCACTCATGGTCCAGCACGCGCTAGTGAGTCAGACCTCAGCCGCCACATGTTTCAAGCATGCAGTCTGACTCACTGGATTCCAAAACCACGAGGGAGCGATTACGTATATCTGCATCAGCTGGATGTGCAATGTTCAGAGTTTCACTAAGCACCCAGGACCCCCACTAGACCACCAAACAGAGTTAACCCCTAGGGATCATAGTCCATCTTCCTGCAGAAAACAATCACATACAGCCAGCACACACACTATGATAAAGAGAGAGACTATGGGAGATCAGTTGCTGAAACACTATTAAAATTTTACATTTGTGCACAATAAATCTGATGGAAACAGAGGCTAAAACATGTGACTATAGCAGAGTTAGGAAACTTTCCCAGACGAGTTATTTTTGCCTCCATTTTTCTATTCAGATTTAAATTTATGAAAATTCAGAGTTTAGTACATAGCCTTATCATTGTCCAAGGCTTTTAGCAGGGGTCCCAATCTTTGTATCTGAAATTATTTTGTGTCAGGACAGATAGATTGTCATTACACACAAGTAGATTGGGCTACTACTTTAGTCAATTGGACAAGTAGCTTATTTTTCAAAACTGCACACACCTGTCATGATGCTCTCAGAGGTGCATTATTACACAGTTCCTACTATGTCACATTTTTAAAGTTAATATTGTACGAATAGGGCCTATTTACAATCACACACTAATCTTCCTGGCTTCAGTATGAAAATATTTATTGGCTTGCCCTTCTGATTGAAGATGATCGGCATATACAGCTGTGCTCAAAAACTTGCTTACCCTGGCAGAAATTGTGAAATTTTGGCATTGATTTTGAAAATATGACTGATCATGCAAAAAAGGTATTTTATATAAAGTGTCTGTGTATAGAGAGTCACCGAGTTTGTTAGCGCTCACATGGATGCACTGAGCAGGCTAGATACAGAGCCATGGGTAGCAGAAAAGATCTGTAAATGCCTGTTCATTCACTTATTAAAGGACCACTATAGTGCCAGGAAAACATACTCGTTTTCCTGGCACTATAGTGCCCTGAGGGTGCCCCCACCC